GATGAGTTAAGAAGCATGCAAATCTTAATGGAAAGGAAAAAAGATGAAAGCTACAACTCAGTCAAAAGAATTATGGAAAAATGGCCACTAAAACGCATTATTTTTTGCGTAACTAGACTATTGCGACGATTAAAATGCATTTTTTTAAGTGAATAATAGTAAAATGACTATCTAAACGCATATAGATTCATTATTGAGCTGTTTGGACCATTTTATGACAACAGAGTCTAGTTTTTCGATGTTTCAAGTTAATTTAAATATGTTTATAGCTTCTAAAAATAATATGATTTACTAGTATTTACTTATCAAGTATTAATATTTTACACAAAAGTCAAGAAGGGTGTCGGTATGGGTCCTCTCTTCCATGTAACCTATCCCCATCCTTATTTGTCTGTATTTTTTTGTCAAAAACTCCTAGCTGATTCATAGATAAAAAGAACGTCAAGATGCATAGAGTATGAATATTCCATTTTTTGTCGATTGGTTTCATTGTTAAGGGATTTCGCATATAGATAGTTGTTTCGCAATCAATTTTGTTTTGAATTTAACTTTCGTTGTCTATAAACATTAGAGAACGAGGGCAGCTATTGTCATACAAGAAGAACGGTTAGGGAACAAGATAATGATTGCAATATCTGACAACCATAGATTAGAACGAACATATATATAGATACAGAGGCGCAAGTTGGAAAAAGTCCATATATCACTTAAGAAAAACATAGTGGAAAAATTCCCATATAGCATGTTGGGAAAATCCTGGATACGAGATGTGTATATTTTCAATACTTTTGAGTGTCCTTGAATTCTCCACCTAAACAGTACCAAACTGCGGTTTGTTTTCTGGGCGAACTGTGTGGTCCTTTTAATAGATTTTGAATATAAAAGAATTTTTGAAGTTCATCTGTATTAATCTCCTAATGATAGAAATTAAAACTTTCTAAATCTTATCACTTGTACATAAATTATACTAAGAAAAAGCTTTACGACAGTTGTTTTTGTTCTTTGAACATATATACATCATCAAAGTTATTATTTTTCTTTGCCAGATTAGCTGTTAATGTTATATTATTTGATTAATATGTTTGTTTACCACAGTAGACTTCCGATGACAAATATGTTTTTTCATCGAGAGAGAAGAATCATCTATCTTATCTGTTTCTTTATTACTTTCTATACCAATATTTTAAGAGATACATGAGTATATAAGACGATGTAAAGCATATTGCCTTTCTTCTAGCGAATAAAAATGCGTCTATTTCTTTTCATATATTTACTACTCCTCCTTTGTATTACAATCAAAGCGCTCGATCAAAAGCCTACTATCAAGAGAATTACATCGAATAGAATCGAAAAAGATCTTCGTCAAATAAGGAATTATTACCAACAATTCATAACAAAACTTTCTCCTATTAGTCGCAAATTAATTGGTTTCATATGCAATGTAACAAACCAATGTTGTGCTTATTCTAAACAAAACTCATCAACAAATACGCAAGGAGATACCTCGTTCAGTGAATGCTTCACTGATGTGACAATCATGACTAAGTGCCCAGCTGCTAGACGTTATTACGAGTTCCTATCAAACTTACAAACAGAGAAACAACGTTCAGAAATAATCCGAAAAATTCAACAATGGAGCAAACTGGAGGAGAATCCTCGTTTGAAAACTCCTATAATGTTTTTGACCGAGCAAAATGAGCGTTTCTGCTCCGAAGAAAATGATCTAAATGAAGCTGAGACGATGTTGGCTTTTTGCAACATCTTTATGACCGATTCATCACTCGATTCGGCAATGTCCTGTGATCGGAAGGTATTAGAGGGTCTTCGAAACGACAAGAATCTCTATGCAAAGTATCTCCGTATGAACAAAGTGTTGGCTAATGAATTGAGCAAAATAATGTGAATCTGTGTGTTTGCAACGTTTATTTGTGACTAATCCGTCTACAAGACTATTGCAGTGTAGTTGTCTTTCCTTGTTTTAGTATAAAAAATAAAGATAAACCTTTGTCCTTACCCTCAAGATAACGCTTTCTAGTGAGTAAAACTTACCTAGCACCAGTGTGGAATACATATATTGCAATCTTACAAATCAATATGATCCTGATCTTATAGTGATGACAATATCTTGGATTCAGATTATTTGCTATTTGTAAGGGTATGGGTGGTTGTGGGTGTGGGTGTGGGTGTGATGGGTGGCAGGTGTAGGTGTGTGGATGGGGTGTGGGTGTGGGCCGGTGTCAATATGAGTTTTAATCTTCCCAACATCCACACCCACACCCACCCACACCCATCATACTTTTATGTTTCTTCTTTTACTTCCTATATGATAAAAACGTATAGTTAAAGTCAACAGCATGAGTCAATAGAAAGCAAGAAAGTCAGGCACAGATAAGAACTTGATGATGTGGTTGTGGGTGGATGTAAATGCAGTTGTGAGGTTCTTGGTATCGATGTGTCATAAGCAACTACGACCGGTTTTGACCTTGCTCAATGGTGTGGGCGTTGGTGAACTTGTAGGGATTAACCACACACGCACCCCTCACACCCACAACCACATCATCAAGTTCTTATCTGTGCCTGACTTTCTTGCTTTCTATTGACTCATTCTGTTGACTTTAACTATACGTTTTTACCATATAGGAAGTAAAAGAAGAAAAATAAAAGTATGATCACTTTTTCTTTTAGTGAGTACGTAAAAAGTAACGACTAGTATTCAAAACTTATTCTTCTCATATTATTTGGCAAAAAATAAACAACATCTGTAATGGCAAGACTTGCTACGAGTGTTATTGTATACATATTTCTTGCGCTGGTAGGATCAATAGACGCTGTCACTGTTGGGCAATGTGTGGCTGCCTGCACAGCAGGTGTAGATGCAATGGCCGCCTTCTGCCGTCTGGTGCCCGCTCCACAAATTCGTGCTCTATGCTGGTCTGTTTATTTATATGCGGGCAGTACAACGAGTCTTGCAATGTGTACAGGGTTCTGTTATAATAATTTTTAGTCCATCCAAGAAAACAAAGCAGCAGCAAGTGAATTTCAAACTTTATTTGTTCTTCTATTCCCGACATGTATTTTCTTGTCTTAAAATGAAAATAATTACAAAAAGGAGGGGGCGTATAAGAGCAGGAATAGGCCCACGAACAGGTTCACATAAGAAGCTTATTTTCTGATGCAGAATTTTACGGTGAATCTTTTGATGCCCAATCCAATACGTTTTCGAACTCCTTTCATGCATTCCAGTCTGTGCCAACTATACCTTATTTTTTACCAGTTCGGAGAGGTTAGGTTTTTCAAAACATAATCTGATATCGATTCAAATACACTCATCTGAAAGAGCGTTCAATTCTGTACAAAACCACATATGAACCGAATATAAATTATCACCCTCAGGAAAATCCCTAAGTAAGTACTATATTTTCACCCACATTTTTGGGAGGTCATAGACTTTCACGCAGTTGAATCCCTAAGGAATTTCTCCTACGGTGAACTTTCGTAATTAGGGTCGGATGCAGTTCTCGACGGGCTTCACCATGGTATGGTTTTTTTCTCAAAAAAATTCATTGGTCAAAAAATTTCACAGGAACTGGGATGTGGGTGTGAGTGTCGGTGCGGGTGTGTGGATGGGTGTAAGTGTGTTATTCCAAGGGACCCACATCCACACCCCCACGAGGTCAGATGTCAATGTAGATTGGTTTCATATCAATAAAGTAAAACACACGAGAGCGTTTCACATCTCGTGATATTTGAATTAACTACACTGAAAAGTAAGATATCGTCGGATTGAATCTCTGATCAAGCAGCGATTATGGATATCAGATGTATAGTTGACGTATTTTGTATTCAGATACTTGAGACTTATCAATGCGGATTCTTTGTGCGCAATCAATTCAAAACTTTTTTTGTTGCAAGATCAACAAAGATACTAAAGATCTGGCAGGTTGTTGAAATGAGAACGGATAACACATTATGGAATAATAGATAGAAAAAGGAATGCTGTCTGAGCAAGATAACAGTAAAACGTCAGACTCTTATTGATAACTGTCACTTTTTGATAAACTGGTTGTGCGTGTGACAGCAAAATTTAATCATATTATGGCGTCAGTCTTTATTAGGGTGGGGGTGAGAATTCGAAAGACGCACATCCACACCCATATTTTGACGTGTTTGGTGTCGATCCAAGGCCAGTTCTTCAAAATCATAGGTTTCTGAAAAATCTTGAGATCTTTTGAAAGGAATGGTCTAGAGATCTCGCTCTTGTGTAGAACAATTGAAAACAATGTGGGCTATCAATTGACGTTATCAGAATTATAATTATAATGGAAATGTAAAAAACCAGAATAACCTCGTTGAAGAACCATGTAACTTATGTTTTTAGATTGCCCCAAAATTTCTCTTTCGAGTGGTAAAAACCGCGGCTCTCTATCTTCTTTCGTATCAAAAGTTATTTAAAAAGTCGTAAGGTATCTTCTATTTTGAAACGGATAATAGTTGCCCACATCGATACTAGACCAGAAAGCATATGAGATTTATCTCAATATATCTAGAGACTTATTAATAAGCTCCGATAGCTGCTGGTATATAGACAATTATATTATTAAACTTCTCGTTTTCACCATTGACAACAATAAAATTCCTCTCAAGACGATCAAATCCGATAGAGTTCATGTACTGGCAAACATAATTCACTAAAAAAATCCTCTTTTAGATAGCAAAAAAGAGATTTTAAATACAACAGTTCTGTCTTTCATAGTCATATTGATTATCATTGATGTATTGATTAGTGATGCAAAAATATATATATGTTCTCTTGCAATCAATCTATATCAAAAGACTTTTTCATTTTGTAATTATTAAAATTTTGGATTCTTGATCAAATTAAAATCTTATTCATCTATGCACTTGACCACTATAGACATGTGTAACTGATGGCATTTTCTTTTCTTTTCTCTTTTCTTCATAGTATATAAACGGTTTATATCTTTGTATCTATTTAAAACATGGATAAACAACCAACATTATTCGAAGGTTTACCTGTTGAACTTTTTCATGTTATTTTTGAATATTTGGCACCTCATGATCTTTTTATGGCTTTTAATAATCTCAATCAACGATTTACATGTATACTTGCTCGACAACCACTTTTTATACCAAATAATCGAAATATGAACATAAGTCTTTCTTTCGATTATCTAACTTCAATTATACCAAATCATCTATCACAAATTGTTTATCTTCATCTATCAGAACGATATGCTCCACATGCACTTGATTATTTTATTTCAACAATACCACTTGAAGCACACAATTGGCCTNGCCTGTCTGTAAGGGGTGGGGGTGGGGGAGCCGCAAAAACTCGAACTTAAAACTTACACTCACTATTTTCTTCGAAAATATATGTGAGTTCCACAAAATATTGAGTTCGATTAGAGGTCATATACAAGTTTATTTTAATCGACAATTTAAAATAGTGAGGATCGACATATTATTATTGAAGATATTTGTAATAAAACATTTGGATGAAACCATTATTCGTATGTATGAATTATTTCTATTGATAATAATGACAATATGAATAAATAAAAATAAATAAATTTGCTTAATATATTCTCTTTTTTTAAAAATCGATGACTAACTATGTTGTCATGATTGCATCATTTTTCTTAGTGATTGAGAAATAACCATTGCATGAGAATGTTTTTTTTTACAAATAAATAAGACATGTAGAAGTGAAACAACTAAACAAAAACAAGGTAGCAAACATAGGAAAAGATAATGGGTGGAAATGCATTAAAAAATGTTGTAACTCGACGTTATGCCCGAGATGAATATTATTTATTAAAAGAACGTTTATTAAATAAACTTGAAGGACATATTGATAAATATGATGTTCCAAAAGAATTTCCATGTAAAGAATCATTTGGTGATCTTGATGTTCTTATGGTATGTCCATTATCAATTAATATTGAACATTTAATTGAAGATTTATTTCATCCAGCAGAAATATATCATAATGGTGATGTTTATTCATTTGATTTTGAACAATTTCAAATTGATTTTATTCTTGTTGAAAAAAATATATTTGAAAATGCAATTGTTTATTTATCATATTCAGATTTAGGAGGTTTAATTGGAAATATTTGTCATAAAATAGGTTTAAAATATGGTATACAAGGTCTTTGGATGAATGTACATACTAAAGAATTTGATCCAACAACAACATCAACTAAATTAATCTTATCAACAAATGTTAAAGATATATTTGATTTTCTTGGTTATAATTATGAACAATATATAAAAGGTTTTGATAATGAAAATGAGTTTTTTCAATGGATTATTGATGGAAAATATTTTTGTTCAATTTATTTTGATGATAATCAACTTAATCATGCTCATCGACAACGTACATCCAAACGTCCAATTTATATTAAATTTCGAGAATATTTAAATATAAAAGATCTATTGAATAATTCCATAAATGAATCTGCTGAAGATCAAAATGAATTAATTCGTATTGTCCGTGAAAAAGCATTAATCTATTTTAATAAACAACAAGATTATGATAAAGGATTAAATCAACGTCAAGAAAAACGGTTATTTAAAGATAAATATAATGGAAGATTTTTTTCTGATATTGATGGAAAAAATCATATGATTCGTGTACATATGGAAAATTTTCAAAGACGTATTGCTAAAACTGATGAAGAATTTCATCAATGGGTGCTTAATACCGATAATGATATTATTCAATCCGAAATAGATAAATATAAATATGAATTAAAACAAAATCAATCCTCTTAAAAGCTCATTGTTTTTCTTTATTTTAATAATAAAAAATAAGTCTAATGTATTAACACAAAGTTTAATGTAAATTTTTTCCATATGATATTGACTTTCTAAATATCGATAAGCTTCTTTAACTGATGTTAAATCAAAATTGAAAATTTTATGAACAGGTAGTTCTTTATTTTTTTGATCAACTAAATTCATTAATCTCCCTCGGACAAAAAAAACGCCCTTTTTCCATTTCATTTTTGCATCACTTAATAAGTTGTTTTAGAAAAACAAAATATACCAGGAGATGCAACGTG